TAATAATATAAATGATAATCAATTATAATTTATTTCTACTTCAATTTATATTGTATTTCATTTATTATATTTTTATTTCATTCATCACCATTCATCAAAACAATCTCTTGGTATTGTTTCATTTTTCTTTAATTCATCTTCACATCCACATTCATAAAAACATCCATCTCCAAATTTAGTAATTGATGATGGTATATTAATTGATTTTAATGATGAACAATATCCAAAACAACAATATCCTATTTCATTAATTGATGATGGTATATTAATTGATTTTAACGAATAACAGTAAGAAAAACAACCATATCCTATTTTAGTGATTGAAGATGGAATAATAAATTCATTAATATCTTTCTTGAAAATATTCTTTCCATTGATTATTTGTAGATTTTCTGGTATTTCAGTACTAATTAACACTGGTTCATTCATAAATATTCTTTCTTCACTAATATATTGTAAATTATCTATATTAATTGATTTTAATGATGTACATCCATCAAAACATCCATATCCAAATGATATAATTGATGATGGTATATTAATTGATTTTAATGATGAACATTCATAAAAACCATAATCTCCTAATTCACTAACACTTGATGGTATATTAATTGTTGTTAATGATGAACATTTATAAAAACAATCATATCCAAGTGATTTAACTTCTGGTGGTATTATATTGCCATATTTATTTCTATCATATTCTGTATATTCTATATTTTTACAGATATTTCCTTGTTCTTTTTCTTGTAAATATGTTGAATAACTTACTGTATACCATATTACATATTTAAATATTCTTCCATCATTATATATTTCATCACATTTATTATAAATATGAAATGTTTCAATATTAGTAAATAATTTTCTTGAATATTCATTTAATGGAATTGGATTAAAATGAAATCGTTCCATATTTGGTTGAAATCTTTTAATTCCAAATTCTAAATTAATAAAATCATTAATATCATTAAAATACATTGATGTTATCATTATTTCATTATATCCTAATTTCATTATTGATTTATTATTTATTAGTTGTTTTTATTAGTTCTTTTATTTTTATATTTTAATTTCTTCTTTTTTATTATTTTATCATCATTCTATTTTTATTAATTGATGTTTATTATAAAAACAATAAATAATAAGAAATAAAATAAAATGATAATTATTTTTATTTTTAATAAATTATAATTATTAAATATTTCATTTTATTTTATATTTTATTCATTATCAGATTCGAAGATATCACGTCAGAGATACCACACATTCCCTAAAATATTTCCATCATTCAAATACACCAGTTATGGACTGATTATAATGTTGTATTTAGTTAGAAAAACATCATAATCAATATTGCAAGAATAACAGTGTTTATTATTTACAATGATGTGATATCATTGATAATAAACGAACGGGTATTTATAAAGATGTTATTATTACTTGTTATGATACAAGTATAATTGATAATATAAGATTATCAAAGAAAAAGGGTTTGGTGGTTGATTCTAAAAAGAATATTAACTCATAGTAATACACTAGTAATTATATATTCTCCTTAAAATAAGAAAATAAAGAATAATTTTAATACTCATTAAAATCAAAAATAAATTAAATAATGAATATTTAAATAATTGATGTTTAAAATACTCTATTCCACATCAAATAAACGAGAAAATGAAATTATCATAAATCAACAAATAAAATCAAAGAATGACTAATAAATAATGAACAAACACTTTTAAAAGAAATGGATTAATTAATCTCCACTAAACAATGAACAATATAAAATAAAATTATTAACATTTAATTATCTCCTTTTTATTTTTTTATTTTCATATCTTTTTATCAATGCAGAATATACATCATATTTTGTTGCCATGGCTATTGAATAATACCATAGAGTCTTGTAAAGAAAATCAAACAAGACACAGGTATTCAAGTTCAAAGAAAAGAATGAATGAAATAGCAATAAAATGCATAATAATAATGATAAAAGAAATAACAGGAAAAAAGTAAATAGAAAAAGAAGAACACAAATAAAAACAAATAAAAAACAAAGTAAATATAATGGTAATAAACATTATACAAACAAGAAACCTAAATGGTTGACAACAAAAGAAATTCAAAAGAAAATTAAAAGAATAACAAGAAAATGGGAGAAATGAGAATATTCAGAAATACTTAAAAAGTATGAAGATAAAGAAAAGAAATGGTATAATATTCTCCAAGAAGTATATTCAATAAGAAAGAAGAAAACACTAGAGAAAATCAAAGAAGAATTCAAAGATAAAACAAAAGATTGGACAAGTGAAGATATTAAAACAATCGAAGAAGAAATCAAAAACAAAAATCCAATCAAATAAATGAACGATAGATGTAAAACTACAAGAATAATAAATGAAAAAGAAAATAAAGAGAAAACACAAGATAAAGAAGAGAAAAAGGAAGAAGAATATAACAAATAAGAAATTAACACACTTCAAAATAAAATTAAAGAATTAGAAGAAAATATTAAATAATTTGAAACAAAAAAGATGGAAGAAGAACGAGTCATTTCAGATGAAATGATTCAAAAAGCACGAGATACAGTTAGGAAAGAGTTTGAAGAAGAAATAAAAAAGATTCAAACACAAATGAACAATATTCAAAATACATTTAATGAAATAAGAAAAGAAAACTCTAAATTAAAAGAGGAAAATATTTCATTACAAGGAAAAATAAATGAAGCAAATGGTAGAAGGATCACAGAATTAGGAGGTAAGGATGACCCCATCATCATGTTCCGAGCTTGCTGTGAGAAGCTGAAGAAGGAGAAGGACGAAGTCCTTAAAGGTGGTGAGCTGGAGAAGAGTGCTGAGCTGCTAGAAAAGAACATAAGAGATAAAGAAAATCAAATCTCTGTATATCAAAAAAGAGCGATTCAAAACTATGAGATTGCAGAAATAACAAGAAAAGAATTAGACCATACACAAAGAGAAAACGAAGAACAAAAACAAATAATATCAAAACAACAAGAAAATATCGAAAATTTTTTATCCCAGAAGGAACTGGAGAAGAAGAAAACAATGACTCTAGTGATAAATACACAACCAATACTGAGAACATCATCATCTGGGACAATACAAATGAACAAAACTACCCCTATGAAAAAGACAATTCTGGAAATAGAAGAAGAAGAGAGCGAAACACTGAGTATCAAAAAACAAGAAATGATAATCAGTCAAGAAGAAAAGAAAACACAACAAATCAAACAAATAGAATTTTAATTGATGTGTTGTATTGTTTTGCAATTAATTTGTTAAATAAGAAATTAAATAAAAAATTAAGAAATGAACAAATAGAAAGCATAATAAAAATAATAAATAATAATGTAAATAATGATAAAGAATACATTAATAATATTAAAATATCACATAGAATAAAAGAAACAACTAAAATATATATCAAAATGAAAATGAACTCAGTCATAGAAAGTAGAGTGTAATTCAATAATAAAAAATATTATCATAAAAAATAACTCTACTGATATTGATGATGAATATCTTAACTCTATCATCATTCAAGTTAAATAAATGAAAATAATTTAATCATAATTTAGAATGAAAGATATAGAAATTATAATAATATCATCATCACATTGGATGATTTAAATTTAGGCATGATGAAAATAAGTAACTAGAAATCACCATGAATTGACATTATATATTTATATTAATTAAAGAGAATATTATCATCAAGAGAATATATTCTTAATATATTTAATGAATAGTTAATTTCAATGAATTCATCAAATTAAATATGGCAAATTGAAGAACAATATTAATCAACAAATGAAGTGATATGAATGATGTTATTAATTATCATTATATCAATTGTATAAATATAATTATGAAAATATTAATATCTTTATTAAAATATAATATTCATAATAGAATTAATATTCATAATGAATCATTTAAAATTAATAAAAATCAATTATGATGTAAATTATAATCTCTTGATAATAAATAATTAATAATTATATATTAAATCAACAGAAATAAGATAAATATACAAAATATATAGATTCACATTATGATATTAATAAATCATATAATCAATGAATGATGAATAAGTAATATAAATATTAAAATAATTTAATATAGAATGAATCAACATAGATAATATATAAAATATGATGAATATAATGAATATAATTATATGATATAAATATAATAAATATAAATGATATATTAAAATGATTAATTTTACATTATGATTCATTATCATCTCTATCATCATTAAAATAAATATAATTTATCAATTCATTGAATATAAGTTAAATAATATAAACAATATATTATATAATGAATAAATTAGAATAATGAAACAAATAATGAATAAATGAGAATAATCAACAAATAAAATAAAGAAATAATAAATAGAATAAAGAAATGAAAGAAAATAAAACAAGAAATAAAGAATATTAACAAATACTATCTTAAAATGAAAATATTACAATAAATGAAATAGATGAAATGTATAAATATTTAAATATGAGAATCAGATGAAATTAATAATATATTCAATTGTAAAATCATCAAATAAAAGATAACAATGAAAATTAATGATATAAATTGTGATAAATGTAGTAATATAAGATATATTACAATAATTAACAATAAATTAATTAATACCTTCACATATTCATCATCAGTAATAAAATAGAATGTAACTTAGATAGAATTGAAATAGAGATAATAAAATAAATAATAAATAATAAATAATAAATATATTAATGTTGTAACTCCAAAGACAATCTATATATCAATATAAATGAAATAATGAATAATAAACATGAATGATGAATATGTTAATGAAATAATTAGAACAATGATGTATTATTGTATAAAAATGAAATAATAAATAACATAATAGATAGATGATATTCAAAGAATTGAATAATGAATATAAATAAAAAATAATAAAACATAAAATCAAAGAAATAGAAATAGAATAAATAATAAAATAAATGATTGAAAATAAAAATAAATAATAATAAAAATAAAATAATGATAATCAAATACTTCAATAAATTGAAATCAAATAAATAGATATTTTAGAATATTGATTGAATCAAAATTTATAGATAAAACTACTACAATCAATTCATTGAAGTCAATCAATATTAAAAAGAATTCTTTTCTTCAATTAACTAAAATACAAAATAGAGTAATATTCAATATGTATAGAAAAGATAAAATATTAAAAAATGATTAAAATATATCCACTTTATAAATACAAGATATCAATAATAGAATATATTCTATTATCTTGTATTTTTATAAAAAAATCATAAGTTGAGAGACATGATAATATTGGTATTATCATATTAAATAATAAGAAAATATAAATGAAATAATCAATACAAGAAATCAACATATGAAACAGTGTTCCAATACAATGACATTATTATGATATTGAACAAATAAATAATATTAAAAATGAATGATAATAACATAAAATATTAGATATATATGTAATAAATAAAAAGAATAAAACTGATCTATTATTTGATATGAATATTGTTGTATATCATAATATTAACGGAGGCTATTTGAAGAAAAGAAATAGGTATAAAGAAATGAAGAATATGATAATTAAAATAAAGAAATTAAAATATGTCAAAATAAATATAGTAATAATTTCAATAAATTAATTAGTAAATGTAGAAAGTATTAAATTAATTAAACAATTAAAAATTGAAACTAACATCATAAAAGAAGTTAAAAACATTGTAATTAAGATTATGACTGATGTCATGGAACATTAATTCTACAAAAACCAATCATATGTTGTTGAATTACATGAAGAAAAAGTGATGTGATTAATCTCCATTGAATAACAAATAATAAATACAAATTCTATTAATACTTAATTACTTTTATTATTTAATTTGTTCTTAAAATTCTTTATCAAATTTTTTATAACAAAAATTAAATACCAAATATTTAATTAAATATCTTTATTTCTTATTTTATTAGATACTTTAAAAGTACTATTTCTAGAATACTACCATAAACTATATCTATCTTCTTGTAATAGTTGTTTCCCAACCATTTATAAAATGAATTGGTTTTATTATTACGTAAAACAGTTTGTATGTTTTTTCTTTCTTTTTTTCTGTTTAAATACCTTTTTCTAACCCTTGTTATTATTCTTTTACTATTATTTTACTATTGTTTTTACTATCAAATTTTATTATTCTTTTATTATTTTTATCAATTAGTTTTCTTTCTTTATTACACTCTTCCTTTTTCTTCCACTAATTATTTTCTCATTATTTACTTAATCATTGTTTTATCCATGAATTAATTAGTGGCGATTGATTGTTGACCTACTGCCATATAATTAGTAGCTTCTATTTCTTGACCTTTCTTTTATTTTCACCACAATAATAATGAATAACAATTAATAATGAAAGAATAGTAATATAAAATGAAATCATAACGATAATTATATAATAATATAATAAATTTGAATAATGTAAAAGAAGAAAGGTATGAATATAAATTCATTTCTGTTAAAAACACAATAAAATTATGTTTAATATAAGTAATTTCATCCTTCAAAAAATAATCTATTTTTTAAATTTAAATAACAACCATTATTCATAGCTTTTTAATAGGTTATAATTTTAGTTTTATTTATTGTTTACATCTATATTGACTATCCTTATACAAACATCTTTTTTATGATAGTTTATATTCAATTTTCTTTGTAATTTAATTTATGAATTAACTTAATTCAATTCTTCTTAAAAAAAAGGTAAATTAAAAGACTAATACTTATTATTAACGTTCTGATAACAATTTTCTTATATCAAATGAATAGTCATTAACCATGAATTTATTCTTATATTTTATAAATATAATAAAACACTGATATTAAATATATTAAATAATTAGAATATTATTTAATACTCATTTTTAGATTATATATCGTAATATTAAAACTAAATTTATTTGATGATGACGACTGTCTGATTTATTATTACTTAGTTACCCTCTTTCTAAATGATTGCTAATATTTATGAAGCATACTTATTCAGGTGAACTTAATCAAACTGTTAACAAACAAGTCCATATCTTAATAAAATAAAACCTACTAAACGGTTGGTATTAATATCATAAACAAAAAACTCTGAACTGTGTTTATGTTAGCATAACTTTTATTTGTCATAATTTTAGAATATTTTGAGAAAATATTTAATTCATTCTTTCACAAATTATAATCTATTTTAATGTTATATTTCTAAATAAAAAGATTTATAACAATTATTACAAAATGAATTAACCACAAAAGTCTGTTCCTTTATAATTATATTTTAATATATGGTATCAAATAAACATATTAAATAAGAACGAATTTAATGAAAAAACTATCACTATTTAGTTTTTTATTGAAAAAATTAATACAACAATAAAATATAATTAAAATACTATAATAAATGAAAACAAAAAACAAAATTTTAATTCTAATTTCAAAATTTAAATTTATTTAATTATAATACATTTATTATTTATATTTACTATATTCTACTCCACACTATACACAACTTCCACATTGTATAACAAATAAAACTACTAGAAAAAATAATAAAAAATAAATAACTGAAAATTAGTATTGGGATAACGAAATGGTTCTTTCACAACTTGGGTCAAGCCTTGTGACAGCATTACGTAAAATGACATCATCAACTGTTGTAGATGAAGAAGTCATTAATACATTATTAAAAGAAATTGAAACATCATTATTAGGAGAAGATGTGAATCCAATATTTATTAGACAAATGGTAAATAACATAAAAAAGAAAATTAATTCAGAGGATATTCCTGATGGAATTGATAAAAGAAAGTTAATAAAAGATTCTGTTTTTGAAGAACTTATTAATTTAGTAGATCCAAAAACTGAACCATTTAAACCAAAGAAAGGAAAAACATGTGTATTAATGATGGTTGGTTTACAAGGAGCAGGTAAAACTACTACTATTACAAAACTTGCATTGTATTATAAAAATCGAGGATATAAACCAGCTGTTGTTGGAGCAGATACATTTAGAGCAGGAGCGTATGAACAATTACAAATGAATGCTAAACGAGCAGGAGTACCATTTTTTGGAATAAAAGAAGAAAGTGATCCAGTAAAAGTTGCTAGTGAAGGAGTTCGTACATTTAGAAAGGAAAAGAATGATATAATTCTTGTTGATACATCAGGTAGACATAAACAAGACAAAGAATTATTTAAAGAAATGCAAAGTGTTCGTGATGCAATTAAACCAGATTCAATTATTTTTGTAATGGATGGAGCTATTGGACAAGCAGCATTTGGACAAGCAAAAGCATTTAAAGATGCAGTTGAAGTAGGAAGTGTTATTATAACAAAATTAGATGGACATTCAAATGGAGGAGGAGCATTAAGTGCTGTAGCAGCAACAAAAAGTCCAATTATATTTATTGGAACAGGAGAAAAAGTAAATGAAATAGAAGAATTTGATGCAGAAAGTTTTGTAAGAAAATTACTTGGAATGGGAGATTTAAAAGGAATTGCAAAATTAGCTAAAGATTTTGCAGAGAATGCAGAATATAAAACTATGGTAAAACATCTTCAAGAAGGTACATTAACAGTAAGAGATTGGAAAGAACAATTAACAAATTTACAAAAAATGGGACAATTAGGTAATATTATGCAAATGATTGGATTAAATCATCCAATGTTTCAAGGAGGAAATATTGAAAAAAAATTTAAAGTATTTATGGTTATTTTAGATTCTATGACAGATAGAGAATTAGATGGATCAGCTAAAACAATGTTAAATGATGAAAGTAGAATTAGAAGACTTGCTCGAGGAAGTGGTAGAGATATAAGAGAAGTTAATGAATTATTTGAACAAATTAAATTATTCCAACAATGTATTGATAGATTACCTAAAGCTATGAGAGCTCAATTAGGAAATTCTAATGCACAACCTAATGAAGCAGCTATGATACAACAAATGCAAAGAATGCTTCCTAAAGGTGTTAATCAAGCTCAATTACAACAATTAATGAAACAAATGAATGCAGCAGGATTAGGGGGAATAGGAAAGAAAGGAAAGAAATAAGTAAAAATATAAAGTATTAGTTTTTGTTGAGAATTCAATTAACACAACTTATTTGTTAGATGTTTATTTATTTTTTTTATTAAATTAAGAAATAACTAAAAAAGAATAAATTAAATAATTATTAAATGGGAGCTTCACAAACACGAATAGAATTCATTGATAATATTTATAAAATGAATAGACTTGATCCTCAAAAAGATAAATTAGTTTTAAAAAACTTATTAAATTATCAAAAATATATGAGAAGAGATTATAATTTTGAATTTAATCATTTAGCATCTTTATATTTCATTGATAAAAAGAAAGAAGGTTATTTTAACAGAGATGATTTATTAGAATTTACTGGAATGTTTGTCCAATTTAAAATTAAGAATGAATATGATTATCTTCGAAAATTTCAAGCTTATGCTTCAACTGAATTCTGGAAAACTTTACAAGAATCTCAAGGTCAATATCAAGTTACTGAATGGATGTTAAGATTATTTAAAGAAAGTCGTGGTATTAAAATGTTTAGTGGTTCAAAAGAAGTATTTTTTACTTCTGCTAATATTAAAGAAATATATCAAGTATTACGTGTTGAAGATTTTAGTGGATCTACTGTTGATGAATTCATGAGACTCTTCCAAAAAGTTGCTGAAGATTCTGTTTGTTTTTATTATTTCATTTTTCTTCTATTATAACATCTATTCTCTTACTTGTTTTAGGGACAAATAGAATTAGGTGATTCTCAATTTGATGATGTAGTCCCTGCAATGGTTGTTGCAGAATTTTTTAGGTACTTCTTAGATGAATGTTATTCATATTTACAAAATATCTTATCAACAACTTCCACCAAACTATAAATTCTTTTCTTCATTTTTATTTTTCATTAAAAATAACAAAAAACCCTGTTAAAAAAAAACTAAAAATGAAAAGAGATATGAGCAATTTGAGAGATACAATTGAAATTGATTCAGAATTAAAACGTAGAGAAAAAGGAATTGCAGAACTTAGGAAGAGTAGGAGAGAAAGAAGATTAGAAGTAAAAAGAATTCAAGGAACAAATTCATTACCAGATATTCCCTTACAACAAACACTCCCAATGCTTAAACAGGAAAATGTTAGTGAAGCAATAGATTTGATAACAACACATTTATTTTATTCAAAATTCAGTGATGTTTACTATGTCTATAATTGTATTGATTTAATATTTGTTCATTTACAAGGAAGTGAAGAAGTTGTTTTTAAAATACTTAAACTTCTTACAAATATTGCATCTGTTGATGGTTCTTTTGATTATTTATTAAAAGTTGATCATACTTTTATTATACGCAATTTATTACTAAGTCAAAATTCAGACATAAGAACACAAACTGCCTGGTATTTATCTAACATCATTTTAGATAGTGATTGTGTTTATCCTGTCTTTAAACAAATGGGACTTTTAGATTCACTTCAAACAGGATTAAAGTTATATTATCAAGATATTGGTTATTGTCAAAAAATTGGATTTTTAATTGGTGCAATTGCCAAATATTGTGATGAATCAAATACTGAATGTTCTATTAAATCAGATAATATGGAAGTTGAATTAACACAAAAAACAAATCAAATTACTACAGTAGATTTTAAACAATCTATTTCACCAACAAATAGTATTTATGAAGATATATTTCCATTATTATCTATATTATATCCACGAATTGAAACTATTAATACAACATATTTTATTCTTTCAATGTTATCTCAATTAGAAATAACTTTTAAAAAATTGGTAAAATCAATTCCCACACTATATAAAACAATTTCATCAGGATTAAATTCAAAAAGTCAATGGACAAGAAATTATTGTATTGCTATTTGTGTTAGTATTAGTGATTTTAATCAAAAATATATGACTCGTTTAATGCAACAATCAGATTTCTTTAGAAATTTAAGTCAAACAGTTTATTTATCATCACCATCATTATTTGTTGATTTGTGTTATGTATGTAGTAATATGATAGCAATGAATCAATCAGTTACTCCAGTTTTATTACAAGTTAATTTAGTACAACGAATGATTCAAAAATTATCAAATTTTGATTTCTCTGAAAATACTGATTCAATTATTGATATTAAAATAGAATTTGGATGGTTCTATTTGAATGTTTTATCTACTTCTCCTATTCATCAAATTTCTCTTATTATTTCAAATAATTTAACATTTAAAGCATTAACAATTATGGCTGAATGTTTAATTCAAAATTCTAAAGAATTTATTTCTACTTTTATTGATTCAGTTACAAATATTATCACCGAATTACTTCACGATGATTCTGAACTTGCTAAAAATTTCATTGATTTATTAGAAGAATCTGGTGTTACAGAAAATTTACACAAAATAGAATATTCATCTGATGAACATACTATTGCACTGAACAATTATTTTTATGTAATTGATCATAACAACCATCTCGAAGATAAATAAATTAAAACAATAAGACTAATTATTATTTTTATAAAAACATTTTAATTGGTTTCATTTTCGGAATCATTACTATTTTCATTCTTTTCATTTATTAATCCTGGTTCACCATTTTCTTCATTTACTAATTCTTGCCTTAATTTTTCTTTTACTTCAAAATATTCTTTTTCGTCATTATTATTAGCAACAAAAATAGCTGTTTGACGTTCTTCTAAAGTTTTATCAATCATTTCAAAAATAGAAGTATATTCTGCAATTAATGTTTCAACCAGTGTATAAATATTTCCAGTAATTCCTTCATCTTTTGACCAACATAAATTTGGTGCTAATATTTTTGCTAGTGTTAAAGAATCCATTTGAGTGTCATCATGATTTAATGAAATTCTATAACAAAGTTTCATTAAACGATTTAAGAGAGCTTTATTATATAAAGGTAATTTATCAATATATTGAATAATTAATACAATATTTTTTTCTGGTGTTTCTTCAATAAGTTCAGGAATTGAATCATAGGGAAGTAATGGTTCAGGTAAATTTCTTAAATAAATTTTAATAATATCAGCAGCGATTAAAGCATTAGGTATTTCAAAGTCTTTTCCTAAATTAATCAATGGAATAATCTTATTTATTATCTTTCCATCACCTTTTCTTTTAAATACAAAAGGATCTTTTACTCCTTCTTCATCTAATACAAAGAAACATTGATCAATTGCTTGTGGAATTAATAATGATTCATCAGGTTCATTTTCTTTCATATATGTTTCAAGACTTTTACCAAATAATCGTTTACATTTACATTGTGTTTGTGTTGAAATAACAATATCAATCCATTCTTTTTTTTGAGTTAAATCATTAAATGATAAAATAGTAGTTTCTTTCTTTACATCACTTTGATCAAAAATTTGACATTCAGTTTCAGGTAATTCTTCTATTTGACAATCATTTAACCAATATTGTAATGGTTGATGTTGTTTTTGTTCAGAAGAAATTAATAAAATAGTATCTTCAAATAAAAAACAATAAATAGGAATATTTAATTCATCAAAACTTTGTTGAACCCATTGTTGATTTAGTTCTTCATCAGAAATAACTTCAATTTTAAGTGATTTAAGAAGAACTTGATCTTCATGTAATAACATACGATCAGTAGGAAAATAATCAATACATTTAAAATGTTTTCTTAAATTCATAATTTTAATAATATTTGGATATGTTGAATAAATTGCTTTAAGTGAAGAATCAATAATTTGTAAACCATAAACAATATCATATGATTTATTCCAATTAGGATCATTTCCTGAAAGATGTTGAACAATACCAACAAATGTTTTAAATAAATTTGAGACATATTCTATATATTTAATATAAATCATTGCTAATGTATATTCTTTATTAATTTTTATTTTTTTAGGTAATTTAGGGAAAAAATGTTCTGATGCATAAAGTGCAATACATAATTTATGATATACTGATGTATAATTAACTAAAATATTATCTAAATTTTCATCATATAACATTACTACTTTAATAATAATTTCTGGTATTACTTCTTTTCTTTCTTCATTTCCTTGAAAATATTCTTCATACATTTTTTTTATTGAATTTAATGATTCACTTAATGAAATATGAATTGATTTAATTGTTTCTAAATTCGATGGAAACATTTCATTTAATTCTTCTTTACTTATTTTTGTTTTCTTAATAACTTCTGGTGTAAAAATACAATAATATTTTTCAAATCTTTTCCCATTTTCTTTCATCCCTTCTTCTAATTGAATTAATTCATTAAATTCATCTTTAAAACTTGTTATTTCTGTTGTTCTCATAAAAATAATTCAATTAACAATTAATAATTCTTTTTTTTTTTAAAAAAAACTTCTTTATTTTATTATTAGTATTTTTTTTTGTTATTATTAATTTTTTTTTGGTGATTCTTTTTTTTTTGTATCTTGTTTAGAAACAATTTATAGAATAAATCTATAATATTTTAATTATTATAGTTTAAAAAATGTTATATTTATTAATGTTTTTAATAACTAATTTTTATAAAACTAGTTTTAGTTAATTCATTTCAAATTACTTTATTTGATGGAGTATTTAATTAATTTCTTACAATTAAATCGATTTAAACAATTAAAACATGAATTAGATTCATATCAAGATGAATTTAATACTCTTTTTAATGACTATCATAATAATTTCCAACAAACCTTCCAACAATGTAAAAGTCAATGTAAATTGATGTTAATTTTCCATCACTCACCTCAATCACCGTTATCTCTTCAATCTCTTTCTTCACTTTTAAGAAATAATCAACTTATTCAAACTATTAATCAATATTATTTAATATTTATTTCCAATGTTAATACTGAAATTGGACATAAACTTGAAGAAATACATGACATTGCATCATTTCCATCAATTTCTATTGTCTTTCCTTTTAATGGTGTTTCAGGTCAATTATTAACAGTATTAAAACATAATGAATTTACAAGTGATACATTAATAAAAATTGCTATTCAACATACTAACTTATTTAATGAAATTATTGAAGAACGAAGAATTAAAGAAGAGAGACAACGAATTAGAGAAGAACAAGAACAAGAATATAAAAAAGCTTTAGAAGAAGCAAAGAGACAAGAAGAAAGAGAACAGAAAATACAAGAAGAATTACTTAGAATAGAAGAAAAGAAAATACAAGAAGAAGAACGACAAAAGAATGAAGAAATGAAAAAACAAATAGAAAAAGAAGAAATTCTTAATGATATGAAAAGAAAGAAACAAATATTTGAACAAGAACAAGAACCTAATGGAAAAGATACTTGTATTATTAGTGTAAGATTTCCTAATGGAAAGAAGATTCAAAGAAGATTTAATAAAACAGATAAAATACAAAAATTATATGATTTTGTTGATGCTAATCAAAGTGCTACTAGAAACTATTCTCTTGTTAGACTAATACCAAAAAAAAGATTTGAACGTAAAGAAATAACTTTTGAAGAAGAAAAATTATATCCATCAGCAATGCTTGTTGTTGAATTAAATTAAATATAAAAGAAATTTTAAATTACGATTAAAAGTTCATCAGTTTTTCTAATGATAACATGAAGGAATAAATCAGAATTACTCAAATTTAAAGCAAGCCATAATAATGGTGTATCAAGAGGAATAGTTATTCCTTGTATAATAACACAAAGGTCTGTACATTGTTCAAATGAATTTGTTTTTAATAATTGTAATGAAGGAGGATCATTATCATTTATATCTCTTTCTTTTAAAAATATTTGAATACCTTCAATAAGTGTTGTTAAATGATCATTAATAATAACAGGAATACAATCAGTATATCTTCTTTGTGAACCAAAATACCAATGAATTGGAATATTTTGCCAATTTTCACCTGTAATAAGTATTGGATTAAGTAATTGTTCATATTCTTCTAATTTATTTTGAGTATGACATTCCCATAATGGTGTAATTGATTCTACTGCTAATTGTCTAATAGTTTGAATAGAACCATAACGTAAATATACACTTTCTTTTAATTGTTGTATATGATAATTTTTGATTGTTTCTTCATTTTCATATGGTTGAAATGTTGATTGGTTTTGATTAATCCCAATCGTTATTTCCATTGGTAAACTACCATTATGAAGTGCATCAAATATTATTCCAATAGGAAAATACCATTTAACATTTTGTTCATTTACTGTATAAGTAACTGAACTAATTGGTTGTTCTACTTCTTGAAGAAATTCTGTTAATGAATTCTTTAATAAAACTGGTAAATATTCATTCCGAGATACATTATATAATGTAAATTTCTCTTCACTCTTAAACGGAATTCTAACAATTATAGGAATTGTCCCCTCAATAACTTTTCGTTTGATTGTAGAATCTATCAATGATGAATATTCAGCAACTTGCATCTTATTTTTTTTTAAGTTTTTTTAATTTTTTTTTTAAAGAAAAAAAGATTAAAAAGAACTTAATAAACTGAAAACTAAATAAAAAGAAATATGAAGGTAATTCAATTCATTGTACTTGGATGGGGTATTTTTACTCTTATTGCTGCTGGTTTGTGGATTGGTGTAGTGTTTGTAGGTCCAATACGAAAAATGGAACAAAATAATACACTTGCTAAATCATCATTAAACTATTATTCAAGAAATACTTTTATTGTTGAAACATGTACTGTTGCAGCATTAATGGGATTATTAGGAATAATATTGTGTGTATACTCATTAATACCAAAACCAACAATGGGAATAGTTTCTTATATTGGACTTGCGCTGGCTGTTATTTCAGCATTAGCAACAGTTGGATATTTTGGATATACATATTTCCATATGAGAAATGCAACAAATGCATCAATGAGTAGTTCACTTGCCCTTTGGGAAGAAAAGTTTGGGTGTTGTGGATGGGATGTTTATAGACAAAAACCATTATGTGCTTCTGATGTTGGTAGTTTAAATCCAAATATGACATGTAAAATCAAAACACAACCACTTCGTAATGCCTCACTTCAAAATTTTGCAGTTGGATGTTTCTTTATTGTAGTTCTTTTTGTTAGTGCTGTTATGATTGTTATTCTTCAACAAAAGACAAAAGATACAACTGGAGGATACACACCAGTTTAATTCAAATTCTTTATGAGTTTATTTGATTTATTTTTAGGTATTATTATTTTTATTCATTTGTTTCATTTGTTTTCTTCTTTTTTTTTATTTTGAAAGTTTCCAAAGAAAAAATAATAGTTAAAGAAATTAATAAAAAACTATATTCTAGAAATTTCGTCATCAACAAAAACTTGTTCTCTTACTGAAGGTTTAAATAAATACCCCTTTCATCTGATTATTTTAGTTAATTGATACTTCTCTCATGGTTAAAATTACCTGTAATTGTGTCTTAACAGTAATTTTTGCTTTCATTCTTCCCCCAGTTTCTATGTATTTAATGGAAAAATGTGAAAAGAGATTTTGGATTTCTTTAATTTTGACTCTTCTCTTCTTCCTTCCTGGTCAAATTTATACTATTTTCTATATGGTAACTCATCCAACTGAATTATATGCTCCAGGTTTGATGTAACTTAAGGAAAGTAATTTACTTTTTTTTCTTTAAAAGTGATTTTGTTAGAATTAAAAATGAACATAAGTAATGAATTATTTATGACATCTTTGAAAACGTATACCACAATAAGACCAAATACCAATAAAAATGATCAAAAAAACTATCATCCCAACAATAATATATAATCTTATGTTCTTATTTTTAAATTTTCTCTTTAATTCTATTGATTGTTTATATAATTCTTCTGTATCTCTCATAATCAAATCACTTTCTCCATCAAGACTATCTAATACCTTTCCTCTACTTAATAATTTATCTACATTTTCGTTTACTCGTGTAACTGTTTGGTCTAATGTTTGTTGAATTTTATTTAATGGATCGTTAGTAAGATCATTAAAATGGTTCTGGTAGATTTAGTTATTATATTAAATAAATTATTAAAAAAAGAAAACAAACAATTTTTTGTTTCATCATAGGAGCAAAAGTATTATTTAATGAACGTGTTGGTAATGTAGCTAATTGGTCTGTATTAAATAATTTTGAGAAATTAATAACAACTTCATCAATAAAATCAAATGCACGTTCTTGTGGAAATGATTCTCCAGTGATAGTAATAACTGTAATAATATCTGTTGTTAAAAGACAAAATGATAATAACTCATGATGAAGAATATTCTTTCCAATTGATGCTTTTGCTAAGATTTGTTTAATGATTTTATCTGCTCCTGGTAAAGAAACTTCATAATATTCTGCTAAAATATTTGTTTTGAACGCAACACAACAATAGAGAATTTGAGGTCCTGGGTCATATCTTTTAAGTGGGCTTGCCATTTAAGTTCTTCAAGAATTATTTAATAGTTCATTTTTAAAGAAAAAAAACCATAACCAACAATAAAAAAAATCATTTCAAAACAACTGTGATACTAAGATCAGAGCCATAAAAATAATTTTTAAATGAACCAACAGCCATAAATGATGGAAGGTTAATTCCTTGATTAGTGATAGTAGAAAAACTAATTTTTAATTGGGCCATTGCTTTCTGAATAAATTTACTAACCAGTAATGTTTGTGAAAGACAAAACGGATTTGACTTAACTTGATTACCTTCAAGATAAACTACATTAAATAATATCGATTTTTGAGACTTTTCAATTAATTTTTCAAAAAAAAGATGATCCTCTTGTGTTTTTAATATACGACGTTCCCATAATTGTGGTTTCATTTCATTCATTGATTGTTGTATTAAATCGTCATTCATTCCACAACAAATCTTTAAAAAAGGAAAAAGATTTCCGAAGTAACTCTTTTGAACGTTTTGTATATCTACAATTTCATCTTTTAGTTTTAATTTAATTACTCCGTCATCTTTAACAAAAAGATCATAAATAGTTCCAATACAAAGATGGGGTGGTAATATAACTCCATTACATTCAACAACATGACTTTGAGAAATATCAAAAACCAAAAGAAATCTACTTATGAGATTTACTTGTCCATTAATTTCTACTAAAACAGAACAATTTAGGTAATCCTTAATAATATCCATAAAATAAAAATGAAAGTTAAAACTATAAAAAAGAAAAAAAAGTTAAGATTAGTCACATTTTTCTTTGGTGGTTTTTGGCTTTTCTGCAGTACGAACATCTCGTGCATATTTATCTGTACTTTGTTCTTGTATGGAAGTACCAAAATTTAATTCTCCCATTGTAATTCCTTTTGGATCTTTAATGATATAACATAATGAATGGAATATTAACAAAAGAGAAATAAAGAATATCATTCCAACAAGAATATAAAACGAATCATCTTTACATATAATTCGTTTTTTTTCTGTCTTTAATGTGGATAAAATAAAACTTTGACAATATGCATGTGAATCATACGCATGTTTATAAAGATACATGAAAGAAAACAATGTTATTTGACCAAAAATCATTGACACATATTTTAAGGAACTACTAACCAAATAACAAAGAATTGAAGAAACAGCATCACAAATCATTAGTACTATAATTAAATAATAGTCAAAATCATTCCAACCACATTGCTTAAGTAACCCAGTAATGGTATAATAAAAAGGTGATTGTTGACACGTAATATGAGAGTCATCTCCCTAGAAAAAAGTATTAGTAATGAATAATGTTAAATGACATCAAC